GTTTCTTATCCCATGTGACCTTTAAACAATTTAATCTTTCTTCAACAGTTATCTAAGTTGCAAACATGGCGATATTTGGGGGAACAAATATTACTGCTATCTTCAAAAGTGAAAAACAAATGTTCAGCAACATTCATCAATCATACATTGAGGAAAATATATACTGACAAAATAATTCATTGAGAAAATTTGGCAGTTATAAGAAGGAGTCTGGGAGCCCCTTTTTCAACTAACACAATCTCTTGGTTGGAGAAGGAAGATGCAGCACTTGTCCAATTAACTGAAAAACCCTACACAGAAGTTTAACAAATGTCCAATTCCAAATGTCATAAAAGGAAAAAATGAACTCAGTTAAAAGAGAAGAAATTCTGGCTGAATGAAAGGAAAAACATCCTAAACGGAGGAGAAGTATTAGAGTTCAGCCATTGAACCAGAGAAGTTCAGTCTGAATGGTTTCAAAACAAATTGTTGTAAAGCAAAGATGAAACAGCCATCTATCAGAGAAGCTTTAATTTGTACCTACTTTGTTTTAGCTTGATGATCTCCCAGGTTCTCTTTCAAATTTATGAATGAAAACATTCTATGATGCTAATTACAATCCGTATTTAATATCATTTTTAATGTAATGGTGCCCACTCTAGAACATTAGGCCCCAAACAATTAGATTAGCCAAACCTGTTGACTTTTTGTAACCCAAGGAATTTGAGACAGTTCCCCTCTTTCTTCTATGGATTCCTTCTCAGATGAAATAAGTTTGGTGGACCCATGTCGGGACCCCATACCTGCCAGGGCTGCAGTCTTGGAGCCCCCATCCTCTCTTTGCCCTGTTTCATTCTCCTCTTAGATCTGGAAAAATATGCAGCATTCAGGGTATAGGCCAGAGTCTTAACGATACTGTAAACATGATTGTTATTTGAGATCTGTAAACTGTTCCTTCCCTGTTTGGACTCCAGTGATGCTTTCTGGGTGCATCTTCTCTGACCATTAACAGAAAAGACATGATTTGAAAAAGAGCAGTGGAAATACTGATTCTGAAACTGGAGATCTACAAAGAAATAGAGTTCAAAGGCATCATCTTTTGGCCTTTTTTTTACCTGAAAAGCAAAAGACCAAATACTATGGATATATTTGAGAAATCTATGCTTTTTCAGTGAATATGTTCCCAAAGTTGTCGTGATCCAGACTTTCCCTTCAATTGGCCCTGGCAAACCTTCAAGTATTGAATGGAAAGGAAACATTCTGTCCCAAAGGGAAGTATATTCCATGAAGTGAACAAAGACGTTGACTTGTCTCCATTTAGTGATGTCATCCATGAGGGTTGCTGCATATCCAGTAATTGACAATCGTTTAGATAAAACAACACAAATTCCATTCTTGAGAAGCAAAGGAGTAAAAGTCCTCATGAAATTCTCTCCTTTCTCTGTGTCTGAAGCAAAAAGACCAATCAAGGTCCAATTGAAATGAAGGAGCAGTTGGACAATTCCTGGGTACTGGATCCCTTCTTTGGGGAGCATTAGGTGGAAAAAAGGGAATTGACGTTTATCACTCAGAGCTACTGAAGGAGTTATATAACTGATCTGAAAGAACAATGAAGAATGCTGTGTTATACAGTATTTGGAGTCAGATAAATTCCAAAATATTAATTTTTAATACACCCATATTGGTTCTCAAGAGCTATTTTGTTGAGTAATCATTATACAATACAAAGATACAAAATATAAAACACAGACAATATATAATAAAAGAATAAACAGAATAAATATAATAAAAGAATAAAAGAAACAAATTAAGAAAAAGAATAAGAATAAAGAATAAAAATCATATTTCTTTGTCACCACTGCAATTTACTGCAATCAGATCCACATATGCAGATTTCAAGTGAGCTCTTTTGTTCAAATAAAAGTCTGCACTATATGTAATTTATGATAATCATTTTAAGCTCCTCATCTCCATATAATAGAATGGGGTAACCTTGGTACTATATACTTTAATAAATGGGACTAAAAAAATTGGATAGCTATGATTTTGTTTCAGTTTAAGCAGTAGATTCACTCATGTCCTTGCTCTTGGATGATGAGTGTTTGAAGATCCAGTCTCAGAGAAAACTATTCCTAGGTAAGGAAAGGTATTAACCTGCTCTATGGGCTCGCCATTGAATAGTCATCTATGGCTATGATGTCATTTTCAAAAATCATACTTCAATAAATTAATTAATAATCACAGTATTATTATGGGAGGTGAAGGCAAGACCTTATAACAGCATATGCAACCAAGCTTGTGAATATTATAATGATATCATTGCAAATGTACAATAAAGTGTTACTATATCTATCTAGTGCCTTGGGCATGTGTACTTGAGAGTCCTTCATTAGTCCTGGTAAGTCATTCATGTCTAGATTGAATAATAATGGTGCAAGTATACACACTTGTCTTACCCCTTAGTGAGTATCAATCCTACTTCCTACAAATGTGTAGCAGGAGCTGCCAGAGCAATGAGGATAGTATTTTGAGAGGATATGGCTGCTTTGACTGTTGTTCCCTCCTCAATATGGATCTCATTCCCCAGCCATGACACCTATGATGGCCATGGTGAAAAGCAGCTCCTGAATTCCATAAAGAAGATATAATTAGATCTATTACTTACTCAGCCACCTCCCCTGGAGTCATTTTCCAAACAGAGAAACATCCACACACAAACCTGTGGAACTTTGTAGGTGCCAACTAAAGTTGACATCTGGATGGAGATGTCCCTTCTGGCTGCATCAAGAAGAGCCAAAACGTTGTCCTTCCTTCCACAGCTGTAGTTGGGAACATTGGTTTCTCCAGTAGAGAGCGTGTCCAGCAAGACACCTGAAGTGGCAAGTGTACTCAATGAATTGTCATGGATGTTGTAGCCAAGTGTGAGATTGTGCAGGAGACATAGATTCTTGTTCACTTGTTGAATGGCAAAAATGAAACGGACAATTCTAGCCTTATCAGTAGATAATCTATCAGAAGAGTCCCACCTGTAGAAAAATATTCATATTATAAACATATCTATCAACAGAAATAACGTAATATTTTTTAAATGTATTTTTATCACCAAAAGCATTTTGAGTCTTAAGCCAATATTGATCCAGAACTAGAGGCAAAAATTAAACCATTTAATTTTCATGAATGTTGGAAAGATAGGTTGGCTTTACATCAATGGGAACATAGAATTTCAGAATTGAAAGGGACCTTGAGGTCTTTTAATCCAACTCCCTGCTGAAGCCAGAGACCTCATTCTGTTTCAGACAAGTGACTAATCAGTCTCTTCTTAAAAGCCTTTAAGCTTTTTAAAAAGCTTTTTTGAACATTTATAAAAATATGATAATGGACTGGGCATAGGAAACTACAATGTTTTCAATAAGTATTTTAAACAAGAATCAGTATTCAAGTGATAAACTAAGTATTGGGGTGGGGGAGAGAAATAATTTAAAGTTCTTTTAGCTGTTTGGATTTGGGTCTCTTCTAGGAAATTAGTCAGGTTCTGCAAAATAGGATTAAGTGGGAAAAAACAGGGAAAGTTTTATAACTGCAAACAGAGGGAATTCAACTGCATCATGCTGAATAACTTACAAAAATGCCCCAACACAAAGAAATATTGGCTTAAGTTTCATAGATGGCTGGAAAAGATGATGAAAATACAGATAGAATTTAAACCGGAATTGTTTTTGCTAGGAATAGTAGGATCTAACTATGGTAAGGAGAATGACTATTTAATACTACATATATTAACAGCTGCAAGAATAGTATTTGCCCAATTTTGGAAAAATGAAAATCTACCATCTGACCAGGCTATAATTTTGAAAAATTTGGACTGTGCAGAAATGGATAGATTAACTTTGGAGATGAAGGAGAAAGAAGATTCAATTTATTTCAAAATGTTTATCGATGGTTAGAAATACGCTAGAATACGATCAGAACTTAAAATTGAATAGAATAAATGATAGACTCTTAGATTAATAATAGTTTTATTATTAGTGATTTTAAATATTAATGGTGATGACTAGAATTTGTTGATATGTTATTAAAGTATGAATATTTATCTAGAGGAATTTTACTTACCTATCTAATTTTAGTTATATGATTATAGTTAACTTTATCTTTATAATTGTTTAGTATTATACAAATTATGTTTATTTAATATTTAGATCCGGACGGTTGCTTGTTTGTTAAAGCTTGGGATTATTATGGGGGTTACCCCATTATTGTACCTACCCTTTTCCTACCCCAAATTCCTATTCCCACTCTCCCCATACCTGTATTGACCCTATCTTTCCTTACCTATATAAAACCTAATAAAATAGTTATTAAAAAAAGAAATATGATAATGGACTGGGCATAGGAAACTACAATGTTTTCAATAAGTATATTAAAATTCTTTTAGCTGTTTGGATTTGAGTCTCTTCCAGGAAATTAGTCAGGGTCTGCAAAATAGGATTAAGTGGGGAAAAAACAAGGAAAGTGTTATAACTGCAAACGGAAGGAGTGCAACTGCATCATACTGAATAACTTACAAGTGAGACTCTCTAGAAGGAGTCATGTTGAAAGGCAATGTTCTATTTGGTCTTAATGTTGCAGTGACAACTATACCAATGATATGGTCTCCGGGCCTGTAATAGCTTGGTGGAGTTTTTCCATCCAGATGCTCCAAATTTAGTGGGCACTTAGTTCTAAGTATTCCAGAGACTATGTGTGACACCGGTAGCATCAGAAGCATCAGAATTAGGAGCAGGAGACCCATTATTTATTGGGCTAAATTAATCCCTTTCTAAACAACAAGAAGAATTAGAAGAATTCAAAGCATTCTCACAAGATGGAATTGCCAGTGGCTTTCCTTATTCAGACAGAGACCAACAGAGCTTCACCTGGAAAGAAGAGAAAGTACATTCGAAAGCACAGCTCCTGCCTGTTTCAAATCTTGTGCCACACATAGCATAACCTGTGGATTTATCCTTTTCTGATGCAAGATCCTTTCAATATTGCTTCAGATTGCTGTTTACATCCAAAGCAGTCACTGGAGACATAGAAGAAGAGGTCTCAAAGAGGGGATGGTGATAATTACAGTGAGAAACAACTTCTTTGAGGATCTTGAAGTTCTTCAAGACTTCATGTTGAGGGTAGCTAGAGAAAAGTATGTTAGTGTAAAATTAAAGATATAATCTTGGAGACCCTGTTCTGTAATGGTTATGGTCCTTCCTATCAAGACATGTCCAGAAAGTGAGCTGGATTAAGGAAATTGACTTCTGTCTTTCAACTTGGCATCTTGTCTCCAGAGATTGCTGGGAAAGGTCACCCAGAACTATGGAGTGTGGTACCACTCTGCGTTGATGACACTTAATTCTAGTGCTGTCTGTCTTCTAACATCAAGAAAGCAGATGATGATCAAAAAAGGAGAGGTTGTCCACAGTAACCTTTAATTTGCCAGGGACACAAATGTCCAGCTGGCTGTCATCAGCATACTGATGGCAAAAAAGTGAAGAAAAAAAAAAGGGGGGGGGAGATCCAGGAAACTACAGACCTATCAGCCTGACCTCAACACCTGGGAAGATTCTGGAAAAGATAATTAAGTAATGAATCTGTGAACACCTAGAAGCAAACAAAGTCATAACCAAAAGTCAAACAAATCTTATTACATTCTTTGACAAAGTGACTGAATTAGTAGACCAGAGAAATGCTGTGGATATAATTTACTTGGACATCTGTAAGGCATTTGATAAAATAGACCACAACCTACTACTTGATAAGATAGAAAAATGTGGGATAGACAGCATCACCACCAGCTGGATTTGTAGCTGGCTGACCCACCACACACAATGTGTAGCCCTCAATGTAACTGCTTCTACATGGAGGGAAGTATGCAGGGGGAGAGGGTACCCCAAGGCTCTGTTTTAGTCCCAGTATTCTTCAACATCCTCATCAATGAATTGGATGAGGGGATAGATAGGGAACAATCAAATATGCAAACAACACCATGCTGGCAGGAATAGTCAACACTTCTGAATATAGGCTTAAGTTACAGATGGATCTTGAACATTGGGCACTATGTAACAAAGTGAAATTCAATGGTGAAAAAAGTAAGGTTTTACATTTAAGCAAGAAAAACCAAATGCACGGGTATAGTATAGGTAGTACCTGGCTCAATAGAAGAAACTGTGAGAGAGATCCTGGATCCTAACGGACAATCATTTAAATATGAGCCAGCAGTGTGCTGCAGCTGCCAAAAAAAGCTAACACAGTTCTAGACTACATTAATAAAGGGATAGAATCAAGATCACATGTGTTAATATCAACTTATAATGCCTTGGTAAGGCATGTCCACAACATTTTGCTGGTCTACTAATTTGATCACTTTGTCAAAGAATGAAATAAGATTGGTGTGGCATGATCTGTTTTTAACAAACCCCTGCTGGCTTCTAATTATAACTTTATTTGTTTCTAGATGTTCACAGATTTGTTTATTTAATTATCTTTTCCAGTATTTTCCCAAGTATTTAGGTTAGGATGATTGGTCTATAGTTTCCGGGATCTGTTTTTTTTTTTCCTTTGTTGAAGATGGGAACCACATCAGCTCTTTTCCAATCCTCTAGTTCAGGGGTGTCAAGCTGCCAGCCTGTGGGCCGGATGCGTCACCAGGAAACCATGCCCAACCCATTGCTGGCAATGGGGAAAAAGCTCCGATATGTTGCGCAATGTCATGTGACATGGCGAGTTTGACATATCTGCTCTAGTTGTTCTCCTGTGCTCCAGGATTTTTGAAATACATGGTAAAATAGTTGTGAGATTACATCTGCTAGCTCCTTCAGAACTCTGGGATGTAATCCATTAGATGCTGGTGATTTATATTCATCAAGATCAGACAGGTGTTCTCTTACCATTAATTTTTATTTCTAGTCTGTCTTTTATAGTTTTTTTGGGTAGGTTGGGCTTTAGTTTCTTTTTACATGAAGACTGATGCAAAGAATGAGTTAAGCAGCTCTGCTTTCTCTCTAGTGCCTGTTACCCCCTTGCCATCTTCTCTCTTTAGTGAAACTTTGACTTTTTTTCTTGTTATTTATATTGTCAAGGTTCCGACTGATGAGCCCAACGAAGAAAACACAACTCAGACATTCCAATCTCTAATGCAAAACTTTACTTAGTACAGCATATCGGCACTGATGAATGGAAAACCAGCTCTGGCTAAAGTGGTGCTAGAACAGTAAATAAAAAGTATAAAAACTAATTTCTATACTAATTTCCCATTTAGGAGTGTCTATCCCTATGCGTTCACCCCTAGCTTTGTTAGCTTTTTGTAAACCTTTCTCTTTTCTAGGACATCTCACTTCTCCTATTAATTCATGATAGCTAGGAAATGGAACCATCTCAGTCTGCCCAAAAACACTTCTCAGAGGCTCTTTTCCTGTAATGCTGCATCCTTAATAAATTAGGACCTAGGCAGGTTGCATCATGCGGAGGCTGCACCCACCCTAACTCCGGCAATGCAAAAAAAGTTGCAATACATCACAACACATCACGTGATGTGGTATAGGTTCTCCTGCTTGAGCAGGAGGCTGGACTAGAATACCTCCAGTTTCTATTCTATTCTATTCTATTCTATTCTATTCTATTCTATTCTATTCTTTCTATTTTTTTAAAAAAATATGGTTTATTGATTTTTTTGCGATAACATTCTTTAATGCTTGGTGAATAGTGGGTTGTCTGGATTCATATATTTAACAACAATCAATAATAATTAATTTCTGTATATCCATAATCAAGAGCTGTGCATGCTTCTAAGTTTTTTCAATGCTTGGTGTAAAATTCGAACTAAGGAGAAACTTCCTGATAGAAGTTAACCAGTGGAACAACCTGCCTCTAGAAGCGATGAATGCTCCAACACTGGAAGTTTTTAAGAAGAGACTGGACAGCCATTTGTCTGAAATGGTATAGGGTTACCTGCCTGAGCAGGGAATTAGATGTGATGACCTCCAGGGTCCCTTCCAACTTTATTATTGTTGTTGTTGTTGTTGTTATTATTATTATTATTATTATTATTATTATTATTATTATTATTATTATTATTATTATTATTATTATTATTATTGAGTTTGAACAGAATCTTGGGGTCAGTCTCCATTCAGTACAGAAAGTTACATGGACTCCTTCAAAACCAAATTCTCCTTTGCTTTCCAGACACATCCAGTCTTGCTCAGTTGAATTCAGAGCAGGGCTAGGGGTGGCTGAGATTTGGAATGAAAGAGATCACATACATTCAACAACCACCACCCCCAACAAAAGTAGAATTTTAGAAATAGGCTATTGCCTTAGACACAGTCCTAAATGTTGCCCATCAGTGGCAACAAGAAAGGACATGGCATTAATCTCACGCCCTATAGGGGCACCCCAGCTATTGACCCTGGTCACAGCTTGAATATTGTGAATCCCACCTCTGACACCAGTTGCTGTGGAATCAAACACAGGACCCAACAAATCAATAATCAAGGCTCACTGCAATTATTATTTATTCAGAGTATACTGGAGGAATTTCCCTCTAAAATAGTAGGAGGAAATTCTACAGATAGAATGATGCACTCATATTTATACATTACAGCAAAGGAAGACAAAATGCAATTCATACTTATGTATATTCAAGCAGGAATATTCATAATTAGCAAATCTCAGGTTACTTCCACACCCATCTATTATTACTATGCTCAATAAAGTGTAAACATATTAGTTGAATTGCCATAGCAATTTTCATAAAATGTATTGAGAAATGAGGGTGTCAAGGTTCCTCCATGAATTCCTTCTATATTTCTATCTTGTTAACATGCTCCCACTTCTCCAGGACCTACAGTAGTTTTCCTCACAATCCTATCTTCCAACTGCCCTTTAATTATTTCAAGAAATCATTGGTGTACCCATGTATGGGGAAGAGGTTGGAGCATTTTCTAGGTCTGGACTGTTGGGAAATGTTGAGACCAGAAATTCTTCTGTCTAACATTTCTACCTTGCTTCTGGTTGTAAGATTCTCCTTTGTATTCAGGTCTGGCCTCAGAATGATAATATAGCATTTGGGGATGAAGATGCAGACCAGCAGACCAGCATTGGAGGCCAAGATGGAGAAGACCTGCACAGACACCATATATTTTCCTTTGGTGCTCAGGTAAGTGGGTACAAAAGTCACCCAGACACTGCAGAAGACCAGCATGCTGAAGGTAATCAGCTTGGCTTCATTGAAGGCCCCAGGAAGATTCCTGGCCAGGAAAGCCACTGTAAAACAGATGACAGCTAAAAAGCCCATATAGCTGAGGGTGGTGTAGAACATGACAACAGACCCTTCATTGCACTGCAGGATGATCAGTCCAGGCTGGGAGTGGTAGTCAGAGTCAGGAAATGGGGGAGAAATTACCAGCCAGATGCAGCAAATAATAATTTGCACAGCAGAAGAAACAAGAATGATGGAGTTGGCCAAGCTCTTCCCCAACCATCTCTTCCATTGATTTCCTGGTTTTGTGGCCAGAAAAGCCAACACCACTGTGATTGTTTTGGCCAAGAGAGATGAAATGGCAACTGAAAAGATGATGCTGAAAACCATTTGTTGAGGAAGGCAGGTGAATTTCCTTGGTTGACCAATGAAGAGAAAAGGAGATAAGAAGCAGAGCAGGAGGGAGACCAGTAGGATGTAAGAGAGGTCCCGGTTATTGGCTTTGACAATGGGAGTTTCTCGGTATTTAATGAATATGGTTAAGACAACTCCTGTGGTTAGGAACAGGGATAGGGCAAAAGAGACCAGGATGATGCCCAGATGTTCTTCATAAAACAGGAAGGATATAACTTTGGGGACACATTGGACTTGGTCCTTATTTGGATATTTGTCATCCAGACACTTGGTACATTTTTCAGTATCTGCGAAAACCCAAGAGCAGTACTTCTTTAATGTTCTGCTGTTTTACCTAATAAGAAATATGTTTTTGAGACAATAAATGGTACCAGGAGTGTTTTCCAAGATGCATTTCTTCACATCTCCACAGAAGGAAGAAAAATATAATATTCTATAAAATATATAACTAAGGTTTATAAAACTGGGAGAAGTTATAGAATTTGAAGGATAACCTGTTTACTGTGCAGAATCCTCATAGGAACCTACATTTCTAGAGGTAAATAATGAATAAGGTAATCTTCTAGGCAAAAATCCTGAGTTCTGCCAATATACTATACTCAAACCGAAAGAAATGACCTTGGTTCCCAAAGGACAATGAAATGTTTAGACTAGCAGAAATCATCTGCACCCCCTCCCATTCTTGTGGAAACCTAGAATGAGCAAGATGGCTGCAGCCAGGTTCGTTGTAGGATTGATAGGATGCCTACCTTGTGAAATCTAGTTGGCTGTCAGAGAAAGCTAGTCCTTCAGAAAATCAGAAATGGTGACTGGGAGCAGTGGAAATATGGATAAAATGAGGTGCCCAATAACTCTCCACACTACCTTATTATCAAACCACAACACCTTCTCAGTGAACCTCAATAGGAGGACCATGTAGAACACATTACAATAATCCTTCCAGGAGGTGGACCTAAAACAATTGCTTAAGTTCCAAAGAACTCATATGTTCCTAGAGAGGTAAACTACACATCAAACTAAAAAGCAGAAAAGATATTCTCTCTGGCAGTAGTAAAGCTTGCCCAATCTGACAGTAGTAAAGTTTGCTCCAATCTTTATCCAGCCCCTCCTTTTTGTTATTCTTTTCTTTAGATAAGAATTTTGCAGTTTCAAAATAAAGAAAAAAATGGTTGAACTTCTGTCTTTCTTTTAACCCCCACTTTCATGAAAATATCCTGAATATCCACCTTCCTGAGTGGAGATGGTCCCCTCTGGACAAGGAACACAGTTGTAGCAGCAAACTGGCTCTCCTTCTCGAGCCTGCTTGACAAATCCAGGAAGACAATTTTTGACACATTTAGACTGAGGAAGAGACTAAGCAGAGAAACAAGAAATGTCAAATAAAATATATTAGTAACAAGCATTCATGGAAAATGTAGGTAGACATGAACATTAGCCAAATAGTGTCTGTCTTTCACTTAGACAACAATGAAATATCACCCCAGTGAGATTGGCCTCTTCCTAGAGCAGGCCTATTTCAGATATCATCTACCAAAGAATTTAGGTTGGAGGGGTCCAGAAAAAGAGCCTTTCATGCTGCTTCTCTCACCCACTGGAATATTCTACCATTGGAGATGAGGTAGGTTCCCACAATCCTGGTCTTCCAGAAGAGCCTTAACAGTTTGCTATGGAGGTTAGCCTGGCACCTTGCTATGCTGTTGGTGGCTGAGAGCTACAGAGAAGATCCTCAACTTCATATAGCCTGTCCTTTTGGTTTTTAGTTTCTATTTTAATTATCTTAAATTTAATCATTTTTATTATATTTTTTTTACCTTTTATCACTTTGTAAGCTACCCAGAGTTG